TTATATGTCGTATGGCAATGGATGTCATCAAACCGATGGATCGTGAATTTAGTGATATTCCACAAGCAATATTGGGAGATTCTAGATATATGCCTCATTTTAAGGTAAAAATTGCATCTATCACTTCTCTCTCATTTTTGTTGCTAATTATAGTTATACACATTGAAAATTTTGTCCAACTATCATTTTTAGGATTGTATTGGGGCTATAGATGGAGTACATGTTCAAGCTTCAATACCACCTCAAGATCAAGTACCTTATATTGGTAGGAAAGGGATGCCAACTCAAAACGTTATGGCCGTATGTAACTTTGACATGCAATTTATATTTGCATGTGCCGGGTGGGAGGGCACTGCACATGATACAAGAGTGTTTCTTTCGGTTCTACGCAATGAAAATTTAAATTTCCCTAAGCCTCCAAGCGGTAAGAATTATGGTCAATTAACCTTTGTGTTTTTCATTACTTACTTAGTCCAATTATATATATATATATATATTAAGAAAAATGAATGTTGTATTTCACAGGGAAATATTATTTAGTAGATGCAGGGTACCCACAGATGAGAGGTTATTTGGGACCATATAAAGGCGAAAGGTATCATCTCCCGGATTTTCGTAGGGGAAGCCAACCAACGGGTTATAAAGAGGTATTCAATCATGTTCATTCTTCTCTTAGGAGCGTTATTGAAAGAACCTTTGGAGTATGGAAGAAAAGATGGAAAATTTTAAGAGATATGCCTAATTATCCATTCAACAAGCAAGTGAAGATAGTCATTGCTACAATGACACTTCATAATTATATAAGGAGGCATGCCCAACATGATAGACATTTTGATGCTTCAAATGATATCTTAAGTGAAGAGATAGATGATGATGTTGATGTACAACAAGAACTTCATAGTCTTAATGACAATGGAACACAAGAGATGGAAGCATTGAGAAATAGCATCGCTACAAGTTTAATGAATGCATCTAATTAGCTTCTTTTATATTGTAGTGATCTATTTGGGAATGTTAAAATTGAACAATTTTTGTATATTTGTTATGCCTCCGAAGCCCTCAAAACACATTGTTATTATTAATATAACAATATTTAGAACTACTTTTGTTACAATATTAATTTATAATTTATGGTAATATATGTGTGCTAATTGTATATTACAAATTTTGATAAATTAAAAAGTGCAAATTAAAAAAAGAAAACAAATTTATGTAGTGAAGTTTGTTTTCTTTTTTTAAAGTAGAAAAAGAATGAAGAAAAAAACAAACAGTTTCATCATCATGCCCTTTTCGGTAATTATACATACTAAAAGCACTTCTGATAAAAATTTACCAAACACTTTGACTACTCACAACAGTTTTTCATATACAGTTTACCAAACGCCTAGCTGCTTTTTTTCACAGCTGATTATTTTCGCAGCACAGCAGAAGCAGTTTTTTTTAAAAGCACAGCAATGCCAAACTAGCCCTAAGTTAAACAAAGCTAACCATTTGCCAACAACACAGATCGGGTTCATACTAAAACCCAACATAAAGTCATTCGGCTTGGTCCAAAAGAAAAATATTAAAATAAGCTTTTATACTTGAGAACAATATATGCATTAACTAAATTCCAAAATGAGTATGATGTTACATGAACACACTACTAGAAGACTTAAGAAAAGAAAAGCTCAAGGACCTCAACCAAATTAAATGAATCAAAGGGGTAGTCTCACCGACTAGTCTAAATAAAATAGCATTTTCTTTGCAGTTATTTAAATATTTAAAGGAGTGCATACGCGAAGTGCTACACAAACCTTAAAACATCCACCAACTCCCGTGTTACCTTACCAAACCCAACAGGAGACTTACTTAATGTAGGCATACAAGCCCACGGTAGAGCTCGAATTACTGGAGGCAAATCAACAAGATGTTCTGGTTGCTGATTCAATTGAACCCACAATTGATTATTGTTTTCCACTTTCTTTAATGCTACATCGATGTGGCAATCTCCTTCAAAATGTAGGAGTCGAATGATGAATTTTTTATTCTTCCTTATGACAACACTCTGTTTATATCCTTCGAACTCTTGTATGAATGATTCATGCACTTTTATGTTCAACTCATGTACATATGCGTCATCAGTGTTGTTCCAAAGAGTGAACAACGAAGAAGAAAGATCATTACCCAAATGATCGTAATGATCAAAAAGCACTTGCAGAACTTGTTGGTTATATTCCTCGTTGTAGCCTAATGGTTTCATTTCAACCACACGCATAATACCACCGCTCATCTCATCAAAAAGAGATACATATGATAAAGTCCTTTTCATAAGGTTCAATATTTCTTCTCTACTGTTGTTGCCTGGTTTGTAATGTTGCCTCCAATACAATGCAGCACGTTCACCACCGGATCCATTCACAACAAGTTCGTGACGAGTGGATTCTATAATAAAATCCTCTTTACTAACTTTATATATATGAGGATCAAATCTCTCATCCTTTTGCTCCCATCCAATTATAAGAGGAGACCCATCAAAAGAATTTGATTGGACGTCGATATACTTCTTGGCTTCTCGTGCTGCAAAATGGATGCCTAAATCTTCTATCTCATCTACTGCAAAATGGATGCCTAATAAATCTTCTATCCCATCTATTTCCATTGCATCTTTCGTATTTCTCATATGTTCCATCACTTCTTTCAAATTTTCCATCTTCCTCTTCACATAAGTTAATGTATTTGAACAATCTATGGCATTTCCTGCCATAGCTCCAAGTATGTTGTAATCATTAATTCTAAATAATTTCCCTGCTGTTTCTGATATTATAAATCCTTTGTCCATCCCACTTGTAGCCCTCGAATCCACAGCAACAAAGATTTTATCATCACATATAATGGCGAGGTTTGTTGTGCCCCATTCCTTTACCTGTGTAAAAATTAGAATTTTATTAGTATTGTTTGTCTTTCCTAAATTAAGCAATTTAGGCAATTAGAATGAAGTAATTCACAAGATATTAAAAAAATGCTTAATAATAAATAATATAAGAAAGATAAAAAAAGAAGAAAGAAAGAAAAAAAGCGACAAGCCCCACCAACGCACCCCCCACCACAACCCAACCCTTCCCCATCGCTGACTACCGCCCCCAACCCATGGCCTCTATTCCCTGCCCATCTAGCCACCCTGAGTTCTCCTCCGCAATGGTAAAAAACTATAGAAAAACAACGGCAAATAAAAATAAAAAAAACAAAGCAAAAGAGCCAAAAACCCCAAATCAGAAATCGGAGAATGGCAGAAATCACAAAGTAAGGTTTTTATTTATTTATTATTTTATTATTTTATATTGAAAAGGGAAAATTACAAGCATAAACCTCGAAGTAAGTTGATCATATAGAATATACGTGCGGGCATATTTTATGATTAAGTAATTAAAAGATAAGAATTTTTTTTTGGTGCTTAAAATAAGAAAAAAAAGATCAAGTGGATAGTATAAGTAGGTATGGTACATTTAACCACCGAAAAAAAAAGAAGTACGTACGACATTAAATAAATAAATAAAAGAAAAAAGTAGTGGTAATGGTCACAAACCTTGAACTCTTGATTGGTTTTCTCCAAGTATTCCTTTTCTGAAACTGAGTTTTGCAATTCTTGGTTGATCATAGAATATGCATTTGCCATTCCCATGTTCGACTGAAGTGTATCAATACAACAGAGCAAAAGTTCAACCCGCTACAATCGCAAATTTGTTGTTGAAAAAGAAAGATGAACATAAAATTAATACCAGCAGTCATCCTTTTATAAGAGAGACTTGTTCTGTTTAGGGAAGGAAAAAAATCTTACCCACTAAGACGGAGAAAAAAAACAAGGAGCTAAACAGGAAATAAAAGGTTTGGCCCAAAAAAAAGGGGAAACAAAAGGTTTGGCTATAAAAAAAAAACAGGAAACATAAGGAATATGCACAAACCACGCAGAGCGTGAAAATTTGCCTTGCACGAAACACATTGACAAACTCCGAATTAAGAAATTCGATATATGCTAATTTACGCCAATTTATCTTTTTATTATTTTTTTAAATTTGATATGGAACGTCTTGGTTGGAAGGAATATGTTTTTCAAATATAAAAATAAGGAAGTTATGAAAGTTCTATAAAAATCAAATCAGGTAGCACTATTAGTTACCCAATACGTTATTTTAACTTTCTCTCTTTTTTCTTTTTTTAATATTTAAATTTAACTTTTATTATTTGATTCCTTATTAACCGACGTATCTGAAAGGGTATTTCCTAGTATCTGAAAGTTTCCCTAAACTCTGCGTTGGCCTTTATATATAATGCTCTTTGCGTTTTCTTTCTCTTTCACTCTCTCTTTGTTTGACCTAAAAAAAACTCTCTCTCTCTCTCTCTCTAAATTTTGTGCATTTAGGGCTTAGAAGTTATAAAAGACTCCGTTATCGATGGGTGGCTCAGCGAAGGATGTGCAATCCAAGAAGGAGCTTGATAGCGTGGTTCACAGTGGTGCACCCGTTGTTCTGCAGTTCTGGGCCTCGAGTTGTGAGGCTTCGAATCACATGGACGAGGTCTTTGCCCACCTCTCTACTGATTTCCCTCATGCCCATTTCTTAAGGGTACGTATTCTTCTCATCTCTATCTGGGGTTTTTTTTTCCTGGTCTTTTGTATGTGTGTGTGCTGGTGTTTTTTTTTAAAATCTCCAATTGATGATAAAATATTGTAGGTTGAAGCAGAAGAACAGCCTGAGATATTCGGGGCTTATTCGGTTCGTGATGTGCCCTACTTTGCCTTTGTGAAGGTATGCTTATTTGGTATACTAGTCTATTCATGTTTCCTTTTTGATTTGATGCTGGCTGATTTTGAGTAAGCATAGTTAGGTCGTTGGATTAGAGGCCGGCGTGCAATAACAAAGTTCTGCATTTAGATAATGAGGTTCTGTTGAATTTTTTGTCACATGATTTATGATCATTGATCAACTGTTTTGAAGATGTAGAACTTAGGTGTCACATGCAATATGAATAAGTGGAAACGTGTGCAAGCATGAATTGAGTTATGATTGGAAAAAGAATTTTGCTGTTAGATAAACTTTTGTAACTAATATCGTTGTTGGCTTGGGTTCTTCCGATTGTTCTGTATTCGTTCTTCTCTTGGTCATTTTTTGTTTGTGCTTTTTTTGGTCAGGATGGAAAGGTCGCTGATACATTAGAAGGTGCAGATCCATCTATTTTGGCCAATAAAGTTGCTAGGGTTGCTGGGTCAGTTAAGCCTGGAGAACATGATGCTCCTGCTCCTGCCAGTCTTGAGACAGTCCACGAGTTAACAAAAGAAAATGGATCTTCCCAGAAGCAAGAGCAAATTCAAGCACAAAATGGCCTTGATGATGCCTTGAAAAGGCGGCTGCAACAGCTGATTGACTCTAATCCACTCATGCTTTTCATGAAAGGAAGCCCTGAGGAGCCCAAATGTAACGTTAGCCGAATTGCCATTGACATTTTGAAGCGAAAGAAGGTCAAATTTGGAAGTTTCGATGTTCTTACGGACATTGAAGTCATGGAGGGGATACAGAGGTATTCTAACTGGCCAATAATACCGCAGATTTACTACGAAGGGAAGCCCCGTGGTTGGTGTGACATAGAGAGTTTAATGCGTCGTAGTGGTGAATTAGAGGAAGTTCCCAGAGACCATGGAATTGATACAGCTGATTCTGCTGGGGCGAAGGTAACTGAAGCTGGAAGTGGAAAGAGTGGAATCTCAGCATCTACTGTATCTTCTCACGAGCAGATGCAAGTTCAAGTGCAAAATGGCCTTGATGATGCCTTGGAAAGGCGGTTGCAGCAACTGATTGACTCTAATCCAGTCATGCTTTTCATGAAAGGAACCCCTGAGGAGCCCAAATGTAAATTGAGCAAATTGGCCATTGACATGTTGAAGGAAAAGAAGATCAAATTTGCAAGTTTCGATGTTCTTTCAGACAATGAAGTCATGGAGGGGATACAGAAGTATTCCAACTGGCCAACATTACCGCAGCTTTACATAGAAGGGAAGGGTAGTGGTTTGCGTCACATACGAACTTTAAAGTGTGGTTTTCGTGAATAAGAGGAAGCTTCCAGAGACCATGAAATCAACTCACAGAATTAGAATACACAACTGAATACCTGTAGACTGAATTTTTTATATAATGTATTCAGCTTGTGAATGGCAATATTCTATCAGTTAACTTATAATCTCTGGATTTACGTATGATTCTTACCCTTTTTGGTTTCTAATAATTAATGGCATTGTTTCCTAGGTCTTTATCTACATAAATTTTTTTCTTCTGCCTCCAATGATAAAAAGTCTTTTAATCTTTCTAATGGGATTAAAAATACTTCTGAGAAGAGCTCACGTATATATCAGAGCAGCCGATTTTTTTCTACTGCTCGCTACGTATATTCTATATCCAATTCGGAAACTATCAGCACCTCCATGGCTGATACTTATTCAGTGAAGACGAGACTCAATTCGTCCAGTGATACATCAAGCCATTTAAATGGTGGACCCTGTAGGGAAGAAAAGACCAAACTCTGTGTTGTATTTTGTCATCTTCCATATTTCCCCTGTATTCCAAGCCAGTCCTAATTTCATCATTGGGCCACTTGTATCTCTAAAATTTCAGACAACGAAAGATGCTATGTAATTATAGACACCCTTGTACCTGTGCTGCAGATTAGTTTCTTGTGTTTTCTTATAAATAAAAATATATATTGGGACATTTTATCACTGTCACACTTTTAAGTTATTATGGTATCCCCTCCAGATCACGGCTTGCAGTAGCTAGTGTTCACGTGCATAGTTCAGAAGGGTTTGAAGAAGAGAGTCGCAAGTATCTATTTCTGCTTATCTGGTCTATTTTTATTGCCAACGAAGATGCAGGAGAGGGCAGTGCGTTATGCAGAAGAAATGGTACGTTCTTATTGTCTATAAAGAATTTCTGCTTTTGACAAGACCCACCCTGGACTCCTCAGAATCCGGGACGAATCTCGTGAAAGTTCCGGCATCAAACCGATGCTGGGCCCACTTACTAAAGACCGAGACTTTCCCAAAATGTTCAACCTGTTAAAAACACATTTAAATATATCCCAACAGGCAGCATGCAAGATAATTTCATAGTGTTTACAAACAATGGCCTCCGGCCTCACTAATCAAACCCTAACAGGGCGATAACAGGGCATATCTAACAGAGTTCAACATACAAACAGAAAAGGAAGTTCAACATAAAATGAAAGAGTAAAGGAGCCCTATGAAGGCTCAGAGTGTAGAAGCTCGTGATTCAGAAGCACGCGACTCGGCACTGTTGCTCGATCCAGTCAACTACTGGTTAGGGGGCACAAAACAGAAAAATGTGAGTGGACAAAACAAAGTTGAGTTCCATTTAAACCAAAGTAATATAACCTCACCGTTTAGAAAACGATGCAGAAAACCATATGCACTTAAAACCGTCATAACCATATATATATATATATATATATATATATATATACAGAGAGCTTTCATTGAGAGATCCCTCAAATAAGCTTATTTGAGGGACACTGCTTGTAGGGCCCACTCTGGATTGTATTTCACTAATCCAAACCATCTATTTTGTAGATACTCATTCAAAGATCATCTCTACAAAAAAATCACTTGAATCCGATATCATTTGACCATTCAATTGAGTTATTGAAATTTTAGTATTTTCTTGAAGTACCGTGTTCATTGATTTTGTAAGACACAATTGGATATCGAAACGGTTTTCGATTTGTCTAATTTTTTGTAAGAATGATCTATATATGAAGACCTAAAAAATGGATGGTTTGGATTATTGGAAAAAAAAATTGTAGAGTACCCTAAAGGGCGTCCCTCAAATAAAATTATTTGAGGGATCCCTCAATAGAAGGCGACTGATATACAGTTTGATCAAAATCAGAACTAAATCCGAAATCCATAATGAAACTTTACAAATCAACCCATCCAAACTTTTCCCTATAAAACCCAAACTAATATCTCGAAGCTCGTGCCCATTGGCACAACAAGTGAGGTAGTATCCTCACCTAGAAACAAGAACGAATGAATAGATATGCATATAGATATATATATATATATATATATATATATTAGAGATATACAATATATTTATATAAGACAACACCTAGTTTGTATCGGGGAAATAATCCAACCGGGGATTTTTTGACTAGTCCACATGGAAGATGGAAGAGTTCTCAATTAACCATGTGGCTAGGGAACGATCAGTCCAACCGGGGGACTAACTCTCAGCCAGCACGTACAGCCGAATCCTCAAGACTCGTATGCCTGTGACAAGTCCTACGCGCGTAGATTACCCAGCTAAAGGTCTACGAAACACCCCGTCAAGGGTGCCTGGGTTCTGACATTTCTAAGTATCTCAAGTTTCCATATCCAAAGTTCCTAATCCGGGAAGGTACATAGGGTAGTGCTTATAGCACTTCAAACTGACCTTCTAATCTCATTTTTTTTCCACAACCTCACGTCAACAACCCAAGTACCCCACATATAGCCAAACATAGATAGAAATTCTCAAGATTCATATATATATATATATATATATATATATATAACTCAAGATACTCAAATATGCCAAAACCCAAATGTATATTACAAATGCTTGATAAAAACACTAAGCTCATGAGTATATTCGTAATCACTGTTGTACCAGACAGAGAACAACGAATTGGAAAGAGGAGTGGCGAAATCATTGTAATGATAAAAAAGCACATTTAGAACCGATTGGTGATATAACTCATAATAGCCTAATGGTTTCAACTTAACCACACGTATAATACCACCGATATTTTCATCAAAAATGGCTGCAAATAATAAAGCCCTTTTCATAAGTTCGAAAATTTCTTCTCTGTTGTTGCCTTTCTTGTAAACCTCATAATAAAAATAAGCATGTTGACCACCGGATCCATTCACAAGTGCTTCGTAAGGAGTGGATTTTTCGATAAGTTCAGATGTACTAACGAGATATGTAAGAGGATGATAGCTCTCATCCTTTTTCTCCCATCCAACTATAAGAGCACGCCCATCAAATTTCGTTACAAAATTGCAATATCTCCAGGCTTCTAGTGCTGCAAGACGGATGCCTGCATATGGTTCCCTATGTATTTCCACTGGATATTTCAACCTTTCCTTCACATAAGTTAACATTTCAGTGCATAGACTGTTATCTCCTGCAATGACTGCAAGTATATTGTCACTGATTGTAAATGATTTCTTTGCTTTTTCATCGAGTATAAACCCTTTTCTTTGACCACATGTAACCCTGGTATTGACACCAACTAAGATTGTATCATCACATATAACCACGAGGTTTGTGGCACCTCGTCCCTTTCCCTGCATAAAAATTTGAATAATTTATTCTTGTTGTTCCTGAATTAAACAATTAAGGCAACGAGAATGCAGTAATTGAAAAACATTAAAGACACTACGTACACCAACAGAAAAAAACAAAGAGGAAGATGATTGGTATGTAGTTGTTTACATAAGAAATAGGTTGAAAGAAGACGTACGGCAGCAAATATTTAGGCTTAATAATAAATAAGATTACAAAGATAACAAAGAAGAAAGAAAGAAAAACAAAAAGCGACAAGCCCCACCAACACACCCCCCAACACAACCCAACGCTTCCCCATCGCTGACTACCGCCCCCAACCCATGGCCTCCATTCCCTGCCCATCTAGCCACCCCGATTTCTCCTCCGCAGTGGTAAAAAACTATAGAAAAACAACATCAAATAAAAATAAAAAACGAAGCAAAAAAAACCCCAAATCGGAAATCGGAGAATGGCAGAAACCACGAAGTAGGTATGATACATTTAACCAACATAAAAAAAAGTAGTGGTAATGGTCGCAAACCTTGAACTCTTGATATTCCTTTTCTGAAACTGAGTTTTGCAATTCTTGGTTGATCATAGAATATGCATTTGCCATTCCCATGTTCGACTGAAGTGTATCAATGCAACAGAGCAAAAGTTCAACCCGCTACAATCACAAATTTGTTGTTGAAAAAGAAAGATGAACATAAAATATTTTTCATCCAAATTAATACCAGCAGTCATCCTTTTATAAGAGAGGACTTGTTCTGTTTAGGGAAAGGAAAAAAATCTTACCCCTAAAACGGTGAAAAAAAACAAGGAGCTAAACAGGAAAACAAAAGGTTTGGCCAAAAAAAAGGGGAAACAAAAAAAAAAAAAAAAAAAAAAAAAAAAAAAAAAAAAACAGGAAAAAAAAAAAAAATAATAAGGAAACAAACCAGGCAGAGCGTAAAAAGTTGCCTTGCTTGAAACACATTGACAAACCCCGAATTAAGAAATTCGATAGCTTCAACAATAAACATTCAACGCCTCTGAAAACCAGTTTGTATCCTAGCACTGACCAAGTTGATGCGTATGTTGGTGGTGATGAACATGCTGTTCGCATTTAAAGTTGTTTCTGTATAATGAAGTAATTTTTGCGAATACATGTTTCTAATGCTTTGCTTTGCAGGTTCAATAATATATATTGCTTACACGAACTCTGATGGGAATTTTATCTCTGCTGCGGACTTTGAGACATCAGTTGAATATCAGCAAGAACTAGTACCAGAGGAAAAGGTACTTTCCTTGGATCCTTCCGGGTAGTTTTTTTTCTTCTATGTAGTGGATTCTGTATTGAAAGGGTTAAGGGAAGAAGAAACCTTTAGTTTGGCATTCCATATTCCATATTCCTCTTCCTCCTTTTGTTTTCTCTTTGACATAATTTTTCCTTCTGTAGGTCATGAAATCTGGGGAATTCTTTCGTAATGAAAGACAATCCTAACAATAGCTTTATGAAAATATGATAACTTTATGTGAATAGCATTTTTTGCAACGTTTCTTTTACTCTTTTTTAAATGTCAGCGCTTCTATTGCATTATTCCACAGTTCCTTCCAAGTTTTAATCGTTTATGATCAATGTGTGTGGACACTAAATTTTTTTTATTGCCATCTCGAGAACCTCCTCTACTATCAGTAGAGGACTAGCAGCTCATGAGCCAAATGTTGAGGGTCTTAAACTCAAACAGAGATCAATTACAAACCGAAAATATGGAATAATGCGTTTGATGGCACTGCCTTATTGTAAGTATTTGACAAATATTGAAGTTTGTTCGGCCTTTAAACCCAAAGGTCACTATCAACAACATTGTTCTTGCTTTCTATTGAAAAATAAATATAAAGGAAAGACATCTTTAAGATGCATAAATAGAATAGACCATGTGTTGCAAATTGCAATTCACTTGCGATAATAGCTCTCAGACCCGAGCTCCATCATCCAAAGAAACATGTTTCGCGCGCCTACCAATCTTGGGAATCGCCCGCCCTTCGTCTTTACCACAACATGACTCTTTTTTAAAGAAGAGTCCACAAACCTTACATATTACATCGCAATTACTACCAACTTTTGCGTTCTTTGGGACACTGACCATGTATGGGCAATTTGACCAATAATGTTCATCCACCTTCAAACAAAACTTACATTCACTTGTGTTCAATTTGTATATCCCTTATTAAATACCGCAATAAAAATAACTAGTAAACAAAATAAAAGAGATTGAATATGTCATAAGAAGAGGAAAAAAAAAGAATTTATGATCAAACATATGTAAATCGAGAAGAGGGAGGCAAGGGTTTGGGGAATGGAGAAGGGTATCAAATTTATTTATTTATTTATTTTTGTTTCTCTTCAAAATCAAAAGCATACCACGAGGAATAGGAGGGCCCCAGAGGAAAGAAAAAAAAGTAGCACATTCTTCATGCGTTAGTTTTCCAATCTTTGGTATTTCAACCTCGCTACCTGTTTGCAATTACCAATTTGTCTATCAACGATCCAAATCAATTATAGCTTAATTTGATCAATTAGCAAAGCTTTGCCACCATCTGCAAATATTTTCCAAAAATAAAAGAGAAAGGTGCAACACGAAAATATTTTGTTGAGAAATACAAAGTAATTCCTCTAAATTAGGACTCAAAAATAGTTTTTCTCGAAAAGTAATTCCAAGGTCAATTAGAAGTAGAATATTGCACGAGATGAAATTCTACTAGAACCAAAACGTAAGTATTTTTCATTGTAAAAGGGAATTTATCATACACAAAATCTGAGGCATGTAATCAAAATTGCACATAATCTTTGTCACAAACCTTTAAATTAAAGGGAAAAAAATAAAAAAAAACATACTGATTGGCTTTGGCCCGTGGATTTTCTTAAGTGGAGACACAAGGCCGTCGTCCATGGCTGTGTGTGCGCGAAAGAGAAAAATGCCGCTTGGGATTTAGGGTAAATAGAAATTTGCCGCTTGGGATTTAGGGTCAATTTGTGAGAGAAAAGAGATGGGTAGGGGGTTCTTATATAGGCTTCACTGGGCTGCGTAACCCTGACGTCTATAGGAATCCTGCGCGTCCTCACCCCGCAAATATAGAAAGTAATTTAAATATTAAATAATAATAAAAGGTTGCGTTTATTTCAAGTCGAGTCATAACAACCGATCTAGACGAGCTTCCTTTTTGAGTTTTCAATCTCTGAAGCGCTCTTTCTTGGAGGTGCGCTCTTTCTAGGAAGGAGGTGGTCGACTCGAGGCCGCCGTCAATTCTCGCCATGTCGACTTTGATGGAGGAGGCACAGGAATTTGGGGAGATGATGGAGCATTTGGACGAGGTGAATTTCGCTTTGAATGGGCTTAAGAAGAATCTTGCACGATGATAGCTCTAAGAAAAGAAGCCATATGTATCAAATCAATATAAAGCAAATGGGAATTAATTCCAGAGCTTCAAAGCCCGTATATATCGGCCTGTTTCAATGGGCAGTGAATTGTTTAAAGCATTATTGGGAAACATTACGTGAAGAAACACCATCAGCAACCAAACCCTTGAATTTGGACTCTAAGGTGTTGCTGCCGATGTCAGAAATGCGCCAGTATAAAAAAAGTTCTGGCATCCTGAGTTTATAAACAGAAAATGTGGTGTTGAGACATGTTTGCATATACATGGAGATATCAGTACAAGCTGCTTCTTCTTTTTAATCATGGATTGAGTCCAACAAAAACACGACATTGGAAGTGTTTTCGAGAAATTAGCTCAAATATTTTAAAAAAAAACTTGAAGTGAATGACAAAGCTGGAATAAGGTTGAATAAAAGTTATAATTCAATGTTGGTTGAAGTGGGCGGACATGAGAACATGAAATGTTTAGAGAAGGATTGTAGAAACTATATTGAGAAGGTTAGGTGCTTACGACTTGGGGAAGGAGATGCTACTACAATTCTAAAGTACTTTACAAATAAGCAGGCTCATAATTCAAATTTTTTCTATGCAATTTATTTAGATGAAGATTGTCGTTTAAGAAATGTGTTTTGGGCAAATGCAAAGAGTAGGGCAGCGTATGAAGAATTTGGTGATATTGTTACGTTTGACACAACATATTTGACTAATAAGTATGATATGCCATTTGCTCCATTTGTGGGTGTCAATCATCACGGTCAATCAATTTTACTCAGATGTGGATTGATTTCAAATGAAAACACTGAAACATTTATTTGGTTATTTAAATCTTGGCTTGCATGTATGTCTGGGCAAGCTCCGAGTGGAATAATTACAGATCAAGACAAAGCCATGAAAAATGCAATTGCAAAACTCTTTCCTAAGACTAGGCATCGATTGTGCTTGTGGCATATAATGAAGAAAGTTCATGAAAAGTTGAAAAGTTACAAGAAATATGAGTCCATTAGACTTTCCTTGGATAACATTGTGTATGACTCATTTACTCGTTATGAATTTGGATAGGCATAAGGAGGAAATATGGATATCTCCGTTCAATTGGCACCCTCATTGATTATCCTAGCAATATAAACAAATCAGGATTTGAAATTTTCTTTTATGGACCATGAATCAAATCTTATGACTCAAATTTGATAATTTATCCATAGATCATAAAAGAGTAAAAACTTCTGACTTATGTTTTCATACTTGCAGGTTCTAACTGATTTAGAACAAAAAAAGGTTAAAATTATTTTAAAAGGCATGAAAAGAAACAATGGAGAATGACCATAAGTCATCAATGGAGGAGAATGAACATGAAAATATAGCATCCCAATCAAAAAAAAAATTGATAGAAAAAAAAAATCATAATACTCACCAATAACCAGAGGAGGGACAATGGAGTGCCAATTGATGGTGTAGGAGGATAGCGAATGAAGAAGGCGAGAGGAGACGGGGACTGTAGAAGAGGAGAGGAACGAAGGAGAGGAGTAGGGAGAACCAGTGTTCACGTTGGCTGGGTTTCATATTCGCTAGGGTTTTTCTATTTCCTTTTCTTTTTTCTTTTTCTTTTTTGCCAATTGATAAATGCTAAAAGAAATAAAAAATTGAAATAATTTTAATTGATGTAGCTGTCCACCTCAGCTGTCACATAAGATGGTATATGATGTGATATACAAAATGTGATAAGAGTAGCATTACTCTGGAATTTATGGCAAACAACATAAAAGCGCATTCCTTTTTCTTTTTCTTTTATTGTATGCATTCCCATCTTCAACCATAGAGAGATAGGACTGCATATAGAAGGAGTCGAATTAGATATTACAGGAGATTTTTTTCCTGAGCCTTTTGCATAGAAGACTACAATTATTTAAAAACATTTAAAATAATAAAAAATCTCATTATTTGTTAAATTGTAATTAACATTTAATCTTCTTGAACCTTTTGCTTTAACTGTAGAGTATCATTTCAATGGACATTAGTTCGAAGAAAAAGAACCATTCCATGGTCGCAAGTAAATGCAGAAGGAATGGAATACACCAAAATTTTCTGATGGGTTGATGTCATGTCAGGAAAGAAAGAAAGGAGTCTGATATCCAAGCATTAGAAAGCTTGTACTGACAAAATTTGCTAAACTGAAGGAGTCCTTGAAAAAGAAGAAGCAGGTACTACTACCCTTCTCTCTCTCTCTCTCTCTCTCTCTCTCTCTCTCTCTCTCTCTCTCTCTCTCTCATCCTTGAAAAATAAAAGAAGAAGCTTGTACTGATATCTCCATCTCCATGTGTACATATATGTGCAACATATGTCTCAAAATCACAATTTCTATTTATAAACTCAGCATGACAGAACTTTCAGTGTTCTAAGAAAGACTCTTGGCTCATTTCTGGAGAGTACTTCAGACAAGGACATCCCGGCTGATGATTGAATGAACATTCAACTGTTTGAGCTCAAGTCTGCAGTTACTTTTTCCCCCCTAAAAGATGTTACGTTTATTAATACTTGCAATATGATATGATATATACATGGTTTTGCCATAGATGTAAAGTTGAATTTCATATACAGTACCACATTATTACATGCTGCATGTGCAAATTGTTTAAAATCAGTCACAAATTAATTCACAAATTTTCCTCTGTACAATTTCGAGGCACGCCTCACATAAGCAGTTTAATGAACAGGATTCGCAGGGGGAGGTGGTTGCCCCTGTTGAACAGACCATGGAGGGCGCTTGTTGTGTTCCTACAGATAAAAACATTTCACATCCAGTCATACCTATGAAACACAAGCAATTGCATTCTGATCTATTTACAACAACTATATACAAAAGACAATACATGTTGTTTCTTTTTTGAGAAATTCTAGCATTGCATTCATAATTCAGTCAAAAAAACTACTAGTCAAGACTCACGAAGGACCAATACAAACTAGTCACAAAGGGCCATTACAACAACGGAGCAGTCTAACATCTGGTGCGCCTCCACTAACGATCACACATGATCGAAGAAATTCTGGCGTAGGCATCCCAACTAAGATTACAAACTCAAAATAATCAAAAAGAGATAAAACTTGAAAAAACTAAATCATAACAATACAAATAAAACTCTCACAATAGAGAGATGAAAAGCTCTCACAAAATAGAGGTGAAAAGCTCTTACAAAATGAGAGGTGAAAAGCTCTCACAAAAGGAGAGGTGAAAACTACACAGAGAACCCAAAGAGTCTCTGTAACTCATTCCGAACATAAAGAAACCACAAAATGATGGTGGCAGAGAGAGGGGAGCAAGTTATTGTTTTTCCTCTTTTTCTTTCACACCCCCAACACCCCAACCAAAAAAACAAAAACCCAATACATGTTGTTGTTTCAAAAGTGTTTTCTTATTATTCTCCCTTACAACAATTAGTATTGGCAACACCCTGCGACGCGGACAATCATATGTATAATTGGAAATTATGTACCTATAAGTTATAGAAATAGTTTGGTTGATGACATCATAACAACTTTTTAGGATAGTGATTAAGTTCACATGCACTTGATGGGGGATCAAAATCAAACCTTTTCTTTCTCTTATGCTGAATTGGGCAAGTTAATCTTGTGCAAGGTATGCGAGGTTTGGTTCCCCTATGTGCTGCTACTTGGATTCACTGGCAGATGATGAAACAAAGGTTTCTGGCACTCGATCCACAATGGCAGCTCACCTGGATAATTCTCAGGTTGAAACAAAGGTTTCTGCAATTCTGTAATTGATAGCTACTTTTTAAGTAGAATGAGATAATATTTTGTTTATACTCAGTGTGTTTAAGAATATTAGGTTTCTTACAGCTTGCTAATTTTTATCTTTGTTTAAGCAGGATATCGGAATTCATGCTAGGCACGTCAGCAATGCGTCTGCAGTGGATAGTGGTCAGTCATATTTCTGTTTCTTGCATGATTTAGTCCCTCGTCTCATTTTTTTTTAATTATCTTATTTTGTTATCTTTGAAGAATTAAATGATGACTATGGGAGTCCAATTTGGAAGAATAGAGTAGAGAGTTGGAAGGATAAAAAGAGCAACAAGAAAAAGGGTACACCTAAGGAGGAAAAAGTGGCTCAAATTCCACCTGAGCAGAAGATGACAGAGAACAAGTAAGTACAATTAAAACTTGGGTGATTTATTGTATGCAGTCAATCTCATACAACATAGGGATACAGGGCCACATGTAGGAGTCAAATTAAATAAATATTGCAGGAGATCTACTCATAAAGTGAGTTACTCTACAAGTCTACGAAGATTACAATTATTAAAAAACATTTAAAATAAAAATTCTAAAAATTTGTTGAAATTGAAATTAACATTTAATCTTTGCTTTAACTTTTAGAGTACCATTAACTCTCCATTCTCTACCATTTAAATGGAAACAACAGAACCAGTATAAGGGTCCAAATAAGATTTCCCCTCGCGGCTCGGACATGTAAAAATCAAGTGTTCACCTATCTTCCGACAATGTAAACAATTCATAAGAATTGCAAATCCATCGCTTTGGCCACAAACGCCACAACATGAGTCTCTAAAGAGGCAACCACACAAATTACAAACTACCACACACCTCTTGCCAACAATTGCGTTCTTTGGGACATGATACCTGTAAGAGCATGTTTGCGAAAAGTGATCACCCACCTTTAAACAAAACTGACATTCACGACCTGTGTGCAATATGTTGATCCATTGTTAAATACAATAAAAGCAATAAAAAGAATCAGTTATTATTATTATTATTATTTTTAAACAATGAATGAATGAAGATGATAAAACTCAAAAATCAGTATTGTGAGCACATTACATAAAATAACAACAAATACATAGATGTTATAAGAGATTTTTTTTGGTCCATAAAATCAAAAGCTTACCAATAAGTTTTTCAGAATTCGACTCATCAGAATCCAACTCATCAGAATCCCAGTCATCAGAATCCCACTCATCAGAATCCGACTCATCAACCTCCGACTCATCAACCTCCGACTCATCTTCAGCCTCCGACTCATCATCAGACTCGCTACCTGTTTCCATGCAATTATATTGTTAAATACACAAAGAAAAAAGTGATGATGTCAAAGAAGTTAGAAGGAATGACATCTATGATCCCATCAACAAATAACAATATTATTAAATATCGGCTATATCATGCGCACACCAAAATAACTTGGCTGGAAAAAATCATCTTCGAAAATTGATTCAAAATTTTGGCATAGTATAGATGTTAAGTCATAAGGGATTTTTTTTTTAAAAAAAAAAGGAATATATGTAAATATAGAAGTTGTAGGCGCATTTTTTTGTTTGTTTGTCCCTAAAATCAAAAGCTTACCAATAAGTTCAACAACCTCCGATTCAACAACCTTTGATTCAACAATATCTTAAATGCAATTACATTGTTAAATACAAAAGTAGAAAGGTGAAGATGCCAAAGAAGTTAGAAGGAATGACATCCATCAACAAATAACAATATTATTAAATATCATCTACATACCAAAATAACTTAAATGGAAAAAATTATCTTCAAAAACCGATTCAAAATTTTGGCATAATATATATCCTCTATAATTACACCAACAAAAATAATATTAAAACAACACTTTGATTTTACCAAAGCACACAATGATACATGGAGAAAATGTCATATGCAACATGCTTCCACCTAACACAACCATGATAAATCAATTATATTTTAATTTGATCAATTAGCAAAGCCATGCCACCATCTTCAATTATTTCCCAAAAATAAAAGAAAAACGTGCAACACAAATATTTTGTTGCGAAATACTTTCCTCAAAAATAATTTTTCTCTAAAAGTAAACAAATAGAAGCAGGATATTGTACGAAATTCTACTAGAACCAAAGCGAGAGTATTCTCATAGGGAATTTATCATACACAAAATCTAAGGCATATAATTAAATTGCACATAATCTTCGTCACAAACCCTTAAATTAAACGAAAGAGGAAAAACATACTGATTGGCTTTGGCCGGTGGATTTGCAAAAGTGGAGACACAAGGCCGCCGTCCATGACTGTGTGTGCTCGGAAGGGGAAAACGCCGCTTTGGATTTAGGGTAAATATAAAACTGCCGCTTGAGATTTAGGGTAAATTGTGAGAGAAAAGAGACGGGGTTATTATATAGGCTTCAGTGGGCTGCGTAATCCTAACGTCTATAGGAATTCTGGTACAACACGGACTCCGCGTCCTCACTTAGAAGGTTTTACTATTTTCCGAAAAAGAAAAAAAAATGGTTTTACTATTTTAACATTTAAAAAACGGTTTTTTTATAATTTGGAAGCCTAATAACAATGTCGACCGCCAAAGCGAGTAAAATTGTACACATAGGAAAGGGAAGGTGGAGCCAAGTGATATGGCAGTGTCATGTATGCATATGAATCGTGGCTTCGACGACCTCTCTTAAGTAGTTGGATACAATTGCCAGGAATGTAATCAATGTTACTGCTTCCAGAGACCATGAAATCAACTCACAGAATTAGAATACACAACTGACTACCTGTAGACTGAATTTTTTATATAATGTATTCAGCTTGTGAGTGGCAATATTCTATCAGTTAACTTATAATCTCTAGAGTTATGTATGATTCTTACTCTTTTTGGTTTCTAATAATAAATGGCATTGTTTCCTAGGTCTTTATCTACATAAATTTTTTTCTTCTGCCTCCAATGATGAAAAGTCTTTTAATCTTTCTAATGGGATTAAAAATGCTTCTGAGAAGAGCTCACGTATATATCACAAATTTGTTGTTGAAAAAGAAAGATGAACATAAAATATTTTTCATCCAAATTAATACCAGCAGTCATCCTTTCATAAGCGAGGACTTGTTCTGTTTAGGGAAAGGAAAAAAAATCTTGCCCATAAGACGGGGAAAAAAACAAGGAGCTAAACAGGAAACAAAAGGTGTGGCCAAAAAAAAGGGGAAACAAAAGGTTTGCGTAAAAAAAACAAACAAACAAAACAAAAGGAAACAAAAGGAATATGGCCAAACCACACAGAGCGTAAAAAGTTGATGTGTATGTTGGTCGTGCTGAACATGCTGTTCGCCATTTAAAGTTGTTTCTGTAAAATGAAGTAATTTTTGTGAATACATGTTTCTAATGCTTTGCTTTGCAGGTTCAATAATATATATTGCTTACACGGACTCTGATGGGAATTTTATCTCTGCTGCGGACTCTGAGACATCAGTTGAATATCAGCAAGAACTAGTCCAGAGGAAAAGGTACTTTTCTTGGATCCTTCCGAGTAGTGTTTTTTCTTCTATGTAGTGGATTCTGTATTGGAAGGGTTAAGGGAAGAAGGAACCTTTAGTTTGGCATTCCATATTCCATATTCCTCTTCCTCTTCCTCTTTTTGTTTTCTCTTTGACATAATTTTTCCTTCTGTAGGTCATGAAATCTGGGGAATTCTTTCGTAATGAAAGACAATCCTAACAAAATAGCTTTATGAAAATATGATAACTTTATGTGAATAGCATTTTTTGCAACGTTTCCTTTACTCTTTTTTAAATGTCAGCACTTCTATTGCATTATTCCACAGTTCCTTCCAAGTTTTAATCGTAAATTTTTTTATGTCTAAAACCTAAAAAACCTTTTTTTTATTGCCATCTCCAAAACCTCCTCTACTATCAGTAGAGGACTAGCAGCTCATGAGCCAAATGTTGAGGGTCTTACACTCAAACAGAGATCAATTACAAACCGAAAATATGGAATAATGCGTATGATGGCACTGCCTTATTGTAAGTATTTGACAAATATTGAAGTTTGTTCGGCCTTTAAACCCAAAGGTCACTATCAACAACATTGTTCTTGCTTTCTATTAAAACATAAATATAAAGGAAAGATATCTTTAAGATAAATAGAATAGACCACCATGTGTTGCAAATTGCAATTCACTTGCGATAATAGCTCTCAGACCCGATCTCCATCATCCAAAGAAACATGTTTCGTGGGCCTCCCAATCTTGGGAATCGCGCGCCCTTCATCTTTACCACAACATGACTCTTTTTTAAAGAAGAGTCCACAAACCTTACATATTACATCGCAATTACTACCAACTTTTGCATTCTTTGGGACACTGATCATGTATGGGCAATCTGACCAATAATGTTCATCCACCTTCAAACAAAACTTACATTCACCTATATTCAATTTGTAGATCCCTTATTAAATACCACAATAAAAATAACTAGTAAACAAAATAAAAGAGATTGAATATGGCGTAAGAAGAGGGAAAAAAAGAATTTATGATCAAACATATGTAAATGGGGAAGAGGGAGGCAAGGGTAAGGGTATCAAATTTATTTATTTATTTATTTTTGTTTCTCTTCAAAATCAAAAGCATACCAGGAGGAATAGGAGGGCCCCAGAGGAAAGAAGAAAAAGTTAGACATTCTTCATGCGTTAGTTTTCCAACCTTTGGTATTTCAACTTTCCTACCTGTTTGCAGTTAACAATTTGTCTATCAACAATCCAAATCAATTATAGCTTAATTTGATCAATTAGCAAAGCTTTGCCACCATCTGCAAATATTTTCCAAAAATAAAAGAGAAAGGTGCAACACGAATATTTTGTTGAGAAATACAAAGTAATTCCTCTAAATTAGGACTCAAAAATAGTTTTTCTCGAAAAGTAATTCCAAGTCAAATAAGTAGAATATTGTACAAGATGAAATTCTACTAGAACCAAAACGCAAGTATTTTTCATTGTAAAAATGGAATTTGTCATACACAAAATCCGAGGCATGTAATCAAAATTGCACATAATCTTTGTCACAAACCCTTAAATTAAACGAAAACGGAAAAACATACTGATTGGCTTTGGCTGGTGGATTTGCATAAGTGGAGACACAAGGCCGTTGTCCATGGCTGTGTGTGCGCGAAAGAGAAAAATGCCGCTTGGGATTTAGGGTAAATAGAAATTTGCCGCTTGGGATTTACGGTCAATTTCTGAGAGAAAAGAGATGGGGTTCTTTTTGTTTTCAAGAGAGGGGGTTCTTATATAGGCTTCAGTGGGCAGCGTAACCCTGACGTACGTCTATAGGAATCATGTGCGTCCTCACCCCGCAAATATAGAAAGTAATTTAAATATTTTTTTTATTTTTAAAAAGGGTTGCGTTTATTTCAAGTCAAGTCATAACAACCGATCTAGACGAGCTTCCTTTTTGAGTTTTCAATCTCTGAAGCGCTCTTTCTCGGAAGGAGGTGGTTGAGAACTGGAGGCCGCAGTCAATTCTCGCCACGTCGACTTTGATGGAGGAGGCACAGGAATTTGGGGAGATGATGGAGCATTTGGACGTGGTGAATTTCGCTTTGAATGGGCTTAAGAAGAATCTTGCATGATGATAGCTCTAAGAAAATAAGCCATATGTATCAAATCAATATAAAGCAAATGGGAATTAATTCAGTGGCGGTGAATTGTTTAAAGCATTATTGGGAAACATTACGTGAAGAAACACCATCAGCAACCAAACCCTTGAAGTTGGACTCTAAGGTGTTGCTGCCGATGTCGGAAATGCGCCAGTATAAAAAAAGTTCTGGCATCCTGAGTTTATAAACAGAAAATGTGGTGTTGAGACATGTTTGCATATACATGGAGATATCAGTACAAGCTGCTTCTTCTTTTTATAAGACTCCTATATGCAGCCCTATCTTTCTATGGTTGGAGATGGGAATGCATACAATAAAAGAAAAAGAAAAAAGAATGCGCTTTTATTTCGTCTGCCACAAATTCCACAGCCATGCATTGCATCGTATGATTTTGTCTGTCTACATGGTGTTTTGTTTAAATGAATTGCAATTTGTAGCACATGTATATTATCTTATGCTCGAAAAATAAGGAGTTTAAATACAATATAGTTGTAAGTTAACAGACCAGTCAAATAAAATCGTACACAGAAAAGCTGTCAACTAGGCATGAATGACCATTATTAGCGCAAACTTGAAAATAAAAGGAAACGTAAAACAAAGGAAAAAACCACATTAATTACCTTCCTTTATTTGAGACCCTAAATCACCAAATAAAGAGTATTCCTGCTCTAGTTGAGAAAACGAAAAATCCGAAACCAAATCAAAACTAGAAATAAATGCCATGCTTATTACAGATGCGTGCATTAGGGTCTATTAGTTTTTAATGATAATTTATTATTTAATCAACACTGAAATGGAAAAAATAATATTGATTAATATGGTCATAATAGGGTCGGTTATTCAATCAAGCCAAACCGCCTATATAACATGTAAGTAAGAAACGCCCCTCTTCATTCTCTCACAGTTCACCCTAAACCCAAACCGCCCATCCTTTTTCTCTCACAACCGCAAAGCCAAACACCAAGATCTACACAGCCATGGACAACGTCTCATCTTTGGAGTGCCTGAAATTCGATTCCCAGTCGAAGGTGCTCTGTAAGGACAGCGGCGGAGAGGACCTTTTATCGTCAACTATGGTCCCCATCAACTGCGATACGCCAATAACCTGTATGTATGCTTTTCCTTTTAAAGATATGATTTCTCCGGCAGTTGTTTTGGTGTTTGTATACCGTCAGCCAATAACCCATCATGGAATCAATGAAATACCGTCGGCCAATTATTTTTTCTGTTTGCATTTAACAATGTAATTGGGTGGAAACAGGGAGCGAGGCTTATGAATTGGAGGCTGATGATTCCGAGACTGATGATTTCGAGACTGATGAATCCGAGGTTGATGAATCCGAGGCTGACGTATTTGAAACTGATGAATGTGAGACTGATTATTCGGATACTGATGATTCGGAGACTGATGATTCAGAGACTGAAAAACTTATTAGTAAGCTTTTGATTTTAGGGACAAAGAAAAAAAAATATAAAAATGCGCTTTTTATATTTTTTTTTTTTTTTTTTTTTTTTTTTTTTTTTTTTTTTTTTTAAATAAATTTTATGACATAACATCTACATATTTGTTGTTATTCTACGTAATGTGCTCACAATATTGATTTTTAGTTTTATCATCTTCATTCATTCATTGTTTAAAAAAATAAAAATAAAAATGATTATTTTTATTGCTTTTATTGTATTTAACAATGGATTAACATATTGCACACAGGTCATGAATGTGGGTATTGTTTAAAGGTGGGTGATCACTTTACGCAAGTATGCCCTTACAGGAATAATGTCCCAGAGAACGCAATTGTTGGCAAGAGGTGTGTGGTAATTTGTCATTGTTGTGGGTGCCACTTTAGAGACTCACGTTGTTCCAAATGTGGCGGAAGCGATGGATTCGCAATTCTCATGAATTGTATACATTGTGGGAATTATGGTGAACACATGACTTATATGTGTCCGAACCACGAGCCGAGTCCCCACTTATGTTCCTTGTGACCCTTATACTAGTTCTTGTTTTTTCAATTTAAATAGTAGTAGAGAACGGAGGGTTAACGGTACTCTAAAATTTAAAGTAAAGATTAAATGTTAATTTCAATTTAACAAATATTTAGATTTTTTATTTAAATTTTTTTAAAATAATTGCAATCTTCGTAGACATGTAGAGCAACTCACTCCATGACTATATTTCCTGCAATATTTAATTCAACTCCTACATGTGCCATGTATCCCAATGTTGAATGAGATTGACTGCATATATACAATAAAAGAAAAAGAAAAAGAAAAAAAGCCTTTTATGTCGTTTGCTATCAATGTCATGCTTTTGTTTACATTGGGTTTTGTTTTTATCGCAAATGAATTGCAATTTGCAGCACATGATATATAATTATAAATAAAATTGTACATATAGGAAAGGGAAGGTGGAGCCAAGTGATATGGCAGTGTCATTTATGCATATGAATCGTGGCTTCGACGACCTCTTTTAAGTAGTTGGGTATAATTGCCAGGAATGTAATCAATGTTACTGCTTCCCACCCTCTCATGAGAAACTGGGTATGAATGTGCCAGGGTTTCTTTAAATTCATAAATCAATTAGATGAGGAATTGAGATGAGGAATTTAGAATTGAGTTCAAATGTGTAATTCATGGTTTCTAACTTTTTCTGTCATAAACTAAACTTATATAATCCATTGTCAATGATGCAAGTTAAAGCAATAAAGAAAAGAAAGAAAATCACCCAATTAAATAAGCCCAATAAGAAATTGTACATGTACCATATCATATTGCGAGAATTAATAAACGTAACGTATTTAAGGGGATGTCCTCGTCACTCTCCAGAAATGAGCCAAGAGTCTTTCTCAGAAAGCTGAAAGTTCTGTCATCCTGAGTTTATAAACAGAAAATGTGGTGTTGAGACATGTTTGCATATACATGGAGATATCAGTAAGCTTCTTCTTCTTTTTATTTTTCAAGGAAGACAGAGAGAGGTACCTGCTTCTTCTTTTTCAATGACTCTTCCAGTTTACCAATTTTATCAGTACAAGCTTTCTCATGCTCAGATATCAGACTCCTTTCTTTCTTACCAGACATGACATCAACCCATCCGAAAATTTCACCGTAAGGAGGAGTAAAGGAGATTTATTGCTTACTCAGTTGTTCATATCGTGTGCAGAGCCATTCCTTCTCTTCTTCATAGTTGGAAATGATGCCTGTCAAATAGAACAACAATGCTTAACAGAGTCGATGGGTTATATTAGCTAATAATTGCAAGGCCTGTTCTGCAGTTTTGATATGATGCTCTTAAATTTTACTTGTTACTGGAAAATGGAGCCAAACTAAAGGGCTACATGCATAAGATGACAGTAGACTGTGTCATGTTCTGTGCGCAGAGTATAAAAAAGCAGGCTTCCTATCCATAGAAATCCGAAACCGAAAGTATGTAGACCAAAAAGCTAGTTGCTGATAAGAAACTTTGCTAAATTAATATATGCAGACAAATAAGCTAGTTTTTTTTTAAAAGGCAAGCTTCTGCCTTCTGCCACAGCCACAGCCACAGCCACTCAACTCTCTATCTTCAGTTATTTGACGATCACGAGGTTTTGATTATAGGGTTCCATTCCTTTTATAATTTTTCATTGAATAATTTATTTTTGGAGGCTCTATTATTGTTTTGGGTACAAGGTCTCTAAAATCTCAGAGTCATCATTGTGTAGCCGAGTTGAACTTTTGTTTGCATTATGACTGAGGCATATGTAGAGAAAACCAATCAAGAGTTGAAGGTTTGTGACACATTACCACTATTCTTTTTTCTATCATATATATTTTTTTTTAATAGTTAAATCTATATATTATACGTGTATATATATACATATTTTGGCTAAGGTATATTCTCATCCTTTTTTTTCTTATCTTTTTTTGCCTAATAAATTTCAATTTGTTTTACCAGGAAGAGGAATGGGGCACAACAAACATCGCTATGATCCCTAATGTAAATTGTAAAGTAATATATGTCGGTGTCGATTCGAGGAGTACATGTAGTGAAATTATATCCAATGAGAATTCAAAAAAAAGTTCATATGAAGAGTTGTAATGTATTTGCAATTAGAGCGGGAAATACCCAGAATGGTAAGGCAATGTTAAAAGATGTCAAGAAATACTTTCGCAAACATGAAGAAATAGTTAATGGCATCCATAATGCACCAGAAAAGGCCGAGGAGTATATTCGAAGCTGGGAAGGAAAATTGACAAAAGAATTATTTATAAAGTTATTTAAGGTATCTGCTATTTTTGCTGGATGGGGTGCGGATAAAGTTCCTTATTTATATCAAATTGCCCAGTCTAAATTCGGGAAAACATTCGAGACAACATCCAAAGGTGAGAAGTGCAATGGATTTGTGGGGGGATCCGGCCGTCCATTTGTTTTGACTTACTTGCACAGTTGCATGCCAGATATGAAAGTCCAGAGTTCAAGTGAATTGTTACAAAATGTGACAAGGGCTATATTATATGCAACCCTTTTTTATAAACATAGCGGTGGAAGTGTGCGCGTCTTTGAAGTAAAAGAAAAAGAAGTTACAAAGGTATATAATCGACCGGTTCTGGAAGCGCTTTTTGATCATTACGATGCCTTAATTAGGCATCTTTCCAATTCATTGTTCTTTCTCTTTAAACATTGTCATTACCCGCATACCCGTGAAAATAATGCTAAAATTGAAGAAAAATTCAGAGCACAGTTTGAAGAAGAGAAATATGTGGGGAATGTTGTCGTAAAGCTAGGAAAGAAATTCGTTGTACAACTCGTACATTTCGAGAACCCAATTGATGCACTATATGAGAAGCTGAAAAGTCAAGATAGTCAACGGAAAAGAACAGATCGACGCACTGTGCCTCGTGAAATTGAAGGTCTACCGTTAGTTAAAGTTAAAACTAAACTTGGTCAGTATCCTATTTGGTGTGCTAAGCTAGAACGGGAGTTGGTGAGAAATTTACAAGAACGGCATCATCGTCTTTAGATAACTCATTTATTAATTTATTTCATTTGTTTTCCTTTTTCATTAATCTTTGGACATGCGTTGGTTGAGAATCCTCTAGCGTTTCTTAAAGTCTTTCTAATAGTGTGTTCATGTAACATCATACTCACTTGGAATTAAGTTTAAATGCATTTATTGTTAGTATAAAAGCTTATTTTAATTTTTCTTTGGGACCAAGCAGAATGACTTTATGAACAAACAAAGAAATTTTTTTCAATTATATAATTGCTGGAGGGAACAAAGAAAACAAGAAAAACATACAGACTCAACCCTAAAATCTTGATAAACTATCACATCCAATTGGTGAGTTATCTGATACCTCAATGGCAGAGGTTCGAAACCCGTTGGAAGTATACTTTGTGACCAGGTACAAGCCGAACCTTGAGCGAGGATTAATCTCACCCTCCGAGTGTGGGAACACCTAGTGGTATTTACCCAAAAATAAAAATAAAAACATATAGACTCAAACATGGAAAGATTATGCAACTTGAATAACATTTATGTATTTGTTGTTATTCTATGTAATGTGCTCACAATACTGATTTTTGAGTTTAACCATCTTCATTCATTCATTGTTTAAAAATAATAATAATAATAACTGACTATTTTTATTGCTTTTATTGTATTTATCAATGGATTAACATATTGCACACAGGTCATGGATGTGGGTATTATTTAAAGGTGAGTGATCACTTTACGCAATTATACCCTTACAGGTATCATGTCCCAAAGAACGCAATTGTTAGCAAGAGGTGTGTGGTACTAGGTAATTGTTGTGGGTGCCACTTTAGAGACTCATGTTGTTCCAGTTATGGCAAAAGCGATGGATGTGCAGTTCTCATGAATTCTTTATCCGAGTCGCGAGACCCTTATATTGGTTCTTGTTCTTTCCATTGAAATAGTAGTAGAGAATGGAGAGTTAATGGTACTATAAAAGTTAAAGCAAAGATTAAATGTTAATTCCAATTTCAACTAATTTTTATTTTAAATGTTTTTAAATAATTGTAATCTTCGTAGACTTGTAGAGTAACTCACTTTATGAATAGATCTCCTGCAATATTTAATTTGACTCCTACATGTGACCCTGTATCCCTATGTTGAATGAGATTGATTGCATACAATAAAAGAAAAAGAAAAAAGAAAAAATGTTTTTTTATGTCCGATGCCATGCATCCTATCATCACTTTCCACTGCAGACGCATTGCTGACGTGCCTAGCATGAATTCCGATATCCTGCTTAAACAAATAAAAAAATTAGCCACCAAAAACCCAAGAAGAATTGGCCATTAAGATTAAGACGGTCATAAATCACAGATGCAACAACATTGTGAATTTGTCACACATTTATGAAAGAATCGGCAACGTTCTTTCTTTCTAGTTTCTACTTTAAAATATAAAAGGAAAGAAGAAAAAAAAGAAAAAGAATACTAAAAATCGGATAGAAAAATGTAACTTCCAATTGTCTGGGAATTGCTTAATTAACTCATTACATAAATGGCTTTGAACCTGCTGAATCATTGGGTAAAAGGTTGTTAAGTTAATATAGAATCCATTCAAATTCTTAAGAAAAATTGCCTTTTCAATTATATTTGGATAAACATTTTCTTCATATATAAGCACCAATATCATTATGGAGTTCACAATTTTGTGTTTAAGACATACCAACCAAAACTCCAAAACTTAAACAAATAACAGGCGATCCCAGCAGTGAGATGATACAGAGTTACAGACTAGCATCTGATTTCCCAACTTACACAAGTAGAAAACATCTACAGATCATGTGATACAGAAGCATTCAAACTGGCCAATGTTACCGCAACTTTACTTTGAAGGGAAGGCTCGTGGTTTGTGTGACATAAGAACTTAAATGCGTGGTTGTCGTGAATAAGAGGAAGTTTCCAGAGGCTATGAAATCAACTCACAGAATAGACCTTGTTACAGTATACATGTCATTTAAATTTAAACTATAATAAGATCTAGTTTTTCGTCCAGCATGTCGTAGTAAATGCCACAATTGTATTTACTGTCCTTGTCCATCTTATTTGAGGAGATTGTTGTCCAGCCTGCAGGTTAATTTGTATCGGAAATCTGAGAAGTATCTTATGAGAGAAAGTGCATAAACTCATCTGAAGGGCATGTTTCTTTCATCACTTTTGCTATAGTTCCAAGTGTAATGTATTTATGTTTCTTATTATGAAGAGGGGAAAGGGAAAGAGGAAGGTGTTCGGGAAATATTCTGCTGTTAAGAAATGGGGTTAAGTTGATTTTAACTACTTCTTGACGGGTTCTTGGATTTAAAAATTTTATTTTGGAAATAGGTTTATGTCAAATGTTAAGAATTTCTTGATGTGTAGATGGTAATGTTAGTTTCACTCGTTGATGATGGATATTTCATTATTGGATACGTGGGTGTGCAAATTAGAAGTAGCTTTTGATGATAAGCATCTGAATTTGGAGAGTGAACATTTCGACTATTATCCTTTTCTGTTCATATTTAACGTAAATTTGTAAATCAATTAAGAGAGCCCATTACCATGGTCGGTCCAATGAATTGGAGTCCTTGGGAGGGTAGAAAATATATTGTAGGGTAAACACCAAAATCTGTGTTATATTTTGTCTATATTCGGAGCCAATCCTAATTTCATCATTAGCATCTTTCGTTGTCTGAAATTAAAAGTGAGACAGTGATAAAATGCGCCAGTATAAAAAAAGCACAAGAAACTAAGATTGTTTAATCTGCAGCACAGGTACAACGGTGTCCATAATTATATATAGCATCTTTCGTTGTCTGAAATTTTTGAGATACAAGTGGCCCAATGATGAAACTAGGACTGGCTTGGAAATACAGGGGAAATGTGGAAGATGACCAAAAACAATACAGTTTGGTGTTTTCTTCCCTCAATATATTTTCCACCCTCTCAAGGACTTCACTTCATTGGACCGAGACCGACCATGGTAATGGGTTCTCTCAGTTGATTTACAAATTGAGGTTAAATATGAACAGAGAGGGAATACAATTAAAATGTTAACTCTCCAAAATGTAACAGAAGGTTGGTTGTTAAGGGGGTTAAATATGAACAGAGAGGGAATACAATGCATTGTTCCAATAACAAAAGCTTGAAGAATGAAATGCATAAACATCTGGACAAAAATGGAGAATTCCAAGTAACCTGTTTTGGCCATCTTTATAAAGCAAACTTGTCCCATAGCCTGCTTATTAATATGTTGGGTTACGCCCGCTTGTCTTTATGTTTTTATGCGTCTGAATGTAAATGAGTGAAAAATAAGATATTGAGTTGTCTCATGCGCCTGATGGTTTTCTCCATTACTTGATGCTTCTTGGCTCATAATCAGCTAAAGTGTCATCAAGTTCTCTGTATGCTGCCTCATTCTGTCGCGATAGTGATATATTTTTCTTGCCAGATAATACGTCCCACTTAGAAGGTTCAAAATCATCTTCATCAAATGCAAAAGGATCTTGATGCTCCTGTGAAAGATCAATTTTGGAGTCTTCTGAAATATAAGATCTTTGACTGACACCAGAACCTTTCCTGGAATCCTCATAGCTAGATGCAAAAGGATTCTCCTCTGAAAGATCGATTTTGGAGTCTTCAGAAATATAGGATCCCTGACTGAGACCAGCATCCTTCCTGGAAGCACAGCTAACTGTACAGGTTCCACCATTTAACTGGCTTGATGTACCACAGGATGAACCATATCTGGAAGAATTGAGTTTCATCTTCACTGAATAAGTATCAGTCATTGAGGTGCTGGTAGTTTCCGAACTGGATATAGAATATACGGAACGAGCAGAGGACAAAAATCGGCTGCTCTGACATATATGTGAGCTCTTCTCAGAAGCATTTTTACTCCCATTAGAAAGATTAAAAGACTTTTCGTCATTGGAGGAAGAAGAGAAATTTTTATTCACATCTAAACATAATTCTCTTGACTCAGGAACGTGGCATTTTCCATAATCTTCAAACATTTCAAAAGCAGAACCAGACAATGCACCATGTTGATTTCCTTTGCCCATGCCGAAGGCGAGCTATCTTTTAACCAACCCTGCACATTAATTACATGCATTTTTAAAAAATACATACATTTTCCCAACTAATAATTGAGTACCATAAACCCCAGAATTTGAATGAAAAACCAAGAGAGGATATACAGGGGAAATACTAATAATTGAGGCTGCCAAGAATGTTATTCTTTCATAAGTCTTTAAGCCTTATTCTTATTATTTAATTGCAGTTGATTGGGAAAACTTTAAACCTCCAGTTATGGAAGGTTTGGATGCTCTGACAGCCGTGAGTATTTTCCTTTTTCCTACTTCGTGCCTATGTGGCATACACTATGAATTTCACTTATTATTTGCTCGATTCTATATCAACAGGAAATCATGAGTTCAGCGACAAACGAACTCTTGCGAGTATATTTGTAATGATCTTTTACTAAGTTTGTTTGTTGGTAATGAGGCAGCAAGCATTCACTTCCAACCTTGTACGCGGTGGTTTGGTTCAAAACGAATGAAGAAAGTAAGATCAGATGTCCTTTGTCCATTGGAGATTATGTTTTATTTTGATTGACTCACTTTTCAACTGCTGCAGTTTCATCTTTCCAAAATCTTTTCATTGCCATATATAGATAGTAACTTTGTACTCGTTAATACCTTTTTTCTTCAGTTGAATCATCTCCCTAACCAGTTTCTCTGCTTATTCAGTTAGAAGTAGTTAGTTTCCCTGTGTTCTAATTCATGGATATAACATTGTATTTATTGTAGACATCTAACCTTGAAATGTGGTAACATGTTCATTGTTTTACTCCCAAATCTTTGGTAAAGGTGTTTTTTCTTTGGACAAAATTTTCTTTTAATCTACCTATCAACTTGTTTTTACATATTTATAAAGGTATGTCTTCTTTTCCTTACTGCCTGACTTGTTCAAGTTGGTTTCTTGAGCTACCACTTGATGGCGTCACATCTATAGTTGATGGTTTGAAGATATTGTACAGAGAAACACTAAAGCCACTGGAACTTACATATAATTTCAATGATTTTGTATCTCCATCACTGGATGTGGTGGATATAATTTGAGACATAAATGTAATTTCATCTAGCAGCGTTTTTAACAGCATAAAGGAGGAGCCCAAAACTAGAATTTCGGACGGCATGCAGTTTTCGGCCCGTCATTGGACAAGGGAGGAGCCCAAAACTAGAATTAATGCGATGAAATGTGAGTGTACCATTGTTTATTTAATTATTTCTTCTGGGCCGGCAAACATCCCAAGTGTTTTTTTCTTTTTGTCGAATCCCCATTCTTATCCTACTAACCAAAAACGATAAAAAGGAGTTTGTCCTGTTAAGTCTTCTTTTGGTTAAGACTATCATTATCCTCCGAACTTGAACTGAACTGAGCTCTATCTTGTCTGAAATGGAGGAAATTCAGCACAAGTACATAACCGTACAAGGCCTAAAGCTCCACGTAGCCGACATCGGAACAGGTCAGAAACCATCCACCAACATACTTTGTTCTTACGGTACACCGTATTCATTCTTCTTCAAATGATCGATTGAACGCCGCCGTCGTTGGACTTGGTGGTGCTTTCTCTCTTTTGTGTTACAGGTTCCAACGTGGTCGTGTTCCTGCACGGCTTCCCGGAGATTTGGTACTCGTGGCGGCACCAGATGATTGCTCTGGCCCGCGCCGGCTTCCGGGCCATCGCGCCCGACTACCGTGGATACGGACTCTCGGACCCGCCTCCCCAACCCGATAAGACCTCCTACCGTGACCTTGACAGTGACCTCCTTCGAATTCTTGATTCCCTTGCTATTCCTAAGGTACCAACTTCATTATCTCTCTCTCTCTCTCTCTCTCTCTCTCTCTCTCTCTCTCTCTCTCTCTCTCTCTCTTACATTTTGCATATATCTTTGCTCTCTCTCTCTCTTACATTTTGCATATATATTTGTTGGGATCTCTTATTCTTCTTAATATTGCCTAAATATATCAGTCAAATTATGCACTGAGCATAAGATAATTGATTGCCTGTTCAGATGCAATGTAACATTTCGGTCTGCTCACTCATAAAATGTACTCAGGTTTTTCTCATCGCAAAAGATTTTGGAGCTCGGCCAGCATATACATTTGCTCTTCTACATCCCGAGAGGGTCTTGGGAGTTGTGACAATGGGAGTGCCGTACACGCTGCCAGGCCCTCATGCATTCGAGAAACTCCTGCCTGAAGGTTTCTACATTTCAAGATGACAGGTGTTGTGTGCATTTAGTTGGTCTTGGTTATCTGTTCAGTGTCTGCACACGCACGACTTGCTTGAGAGTTTGCAACTAACTGTTACCTCTATTGTAGGAGCCTGGCAGGGCAGAGGCTGATTTTGGGCGACTTGATGCGAAAACAGTTGTCCGGAATGTTTACATCCTGTTCTCCAGAAGTGAAATACCAATAGCTGCAGAAAACCAGGAGATCATGGACTTGGTGGATCCATCTACCCCTCTTCCCCCTTGGTTCACGGAGGAAGATCTTGCAGCATATGGAGCTTTGTATGAGAAATCGGGCTTTCAAACTGCACTGCAAGTTCCATATAGGTAATGAAATTGATCATAGATCCACTTATGAGTGACCAAAGGGCTCTTCAAAGCAGTTTATTTATGCTAATTTGACCGAGTTGTAAGTACATACTTGTTATTGACAGGGCACTTAGAGAAGACCCCGGCATAACCGATCCAATTGTTAAAGCTCCGGCGCTTTTCATAATGGGAGGCAAGGATTATGTGTACAAGTTTCCCGGGATGGAGGATTATATAAACACTGGAAAGGTGAAACAATTCGTCCCTAAGTTGGAGATTGTATTTCTGCCTGAAGGAACACATTTCGTGCAAGAACAGTCACCAGAAGAGGTTAATCAGCTGATCATCACCTTCCTTGGAAAGCACATTTGATTGGCAAAGAATAAGTTATCCATGGCTTTGCAGAGGTCTATGTGAAACCTTGGGAAAATGATGCAATTGGGTGTAGAATCTTATACATAAAACAAACTTTGGAATTTGTTGTGGCATGTAATGTTTGAATGTTTATCAAATACTTACAATAAGGCAAATGCCATGATACTCATTGTTCCGGTTTTCTGTTGTTTGTGATCACTGTGTGTGAGTTTAAGAGCCTATAATTTGCTTGCGAAAAATATTTAGATTGGCCGATGAGAGAATTCCCGCCTTTTAAGAAAATGCTAATCACATGGACTCTGGACGAAAGTAAGACATTTTCATTAAGCTATCATATTCGTATACAAGTATGTCTCTTGCCTGCTCTAGTATGGTGAAAAACTAGAAAGATACAAAGAACAATAGCATAAAGAAGGGACCAAAAAGAAGAACAAATACATGCAAACAAGCCTACAGTCAGTTCGTTAGTTTGCAGCTGAAATCGCAACTTTACGAGTGTCGTGGCGTTGGGTAAACAACAGATAAGCCGAATCTGTACAGGATTTCCATTTCCAAAGCTCCTCTCATGGGTGTATAAAATTTTGATATGTTAACCTCATGCTTCCTCTATATCAATCAAGGGTGTTTGATCAGTAAGATGTCTATTACTCTGATCTGATGGTCAAGTTCAATGCTTCAAGTATTCTCACTTCTCTCACTTTGGTTCAGAACTTCATCCTCAGGCTTTGCTGTCAACTTCAAACTGCCTGCACAGAAAGTTAGAGGTTTGATACATAAGGTACCATCAAAGGGTAGAGTAATTCAATCTTTTTCTGTCTGCCATTAAAATGATGCAAGTGCAAAAAAAATATGTCTACCATAATTCGGCAAAAAAGCATGTGGCAGAAGCACAAAACTAGCAAAACTGGTGACAGAACCGACAAATGTTCAACGCAACAACAAATGAACTAACAACCTTAGAAGGAATCAAGATGGTACCTCTCCCAGCTCTAGTCTTGTGCCCATGTCTCTCAAAGCGTGCTGCTTCTTCTAGCTTTTTACAAGGCTCACAAATGCGCACAGGCGAATCACCTTGGCCCCGTAAAAAACATTCTTTGCTGGGTGCAGCTGTTGCAAAACAAGCCCCCACACCTCCGGCAATGATGCTGAAATTCCACATTGCATATAATCAAGAATCAGAAAAAGACCCGGAGACTAGAAAGAAATATCACATTCAATCCTAGAATAACCTGCAAATAAGCTCAAGTTGGATAACAAACCCTTTATATAATTAGAACCTATTTCTTTGCACAACACAAACTATAAATCCCCAATAAATTCTTAAACTAAATAAGCATGGGCCTGTAAAAAATAAACAATCTACGGTTTCCACAAGGTTCAAATTGGGAAGCTACGAAGCGCAGTATTGAAACCACGGTTGAGTTCACATATAAAATTAAAAAAGCAGAGATTTTGAGGCATGGGTAATGAAGAAACATAAGAACTTGTCAAGAACTCATAGATATTGGATCGGAGATGGAGGGAAGGAGGAAAAATGAACCTGGCGATTGATGAAGGTGAACTGAGAAGTACATTCCTGACAGTGTGAGGCGTCAACCACCCCTGTATTCCCTCTCAATGATGGCTTTGCCGGCAACCCGATCTTCTCCAATATCTTTTTGCTTTGCTTCACCGAATCAATCAAATCAAATCCAAGCCAAAAGCTTTATATAAAAAACTAAAGAATAAAACGAATTTCCCCTTCGGATCTTATGCTTTCGTACTTCAAAAAATTCATAATTCGATGGGTATGATGCATCCAGAAGAAGGGAAGGAAAGCCGGAAAGGGAAAGAAAGTTGTGACTTTTATCCGTGATTGATGACGACGACGAATTCATTTGGGGTTTGGGTTAGAAGACGCATCAAAACAACGTCGTTCGACTGTTTGATGCCGTCGACAAACCAACGACTAGTTCGGTGGGAGTCGGACAAGTTTAAGTTTCCAACGATACGGAGGGAAATTTTTTATTTTTTATTTTTTTAAGAAGGGCCCGCCTAGCGCCTAGGCGGCCGCCTAGCGCCGAGGCCCATTTTTCAAAATTTAACCTTACAACGTCGGCAGGAGAGTCAGTGCAGGTATATAATAACGCCAGGCATCTTACCGGTCTAAGTGGGCCTTCACTTGGGGTCCTTTTTAAACTTGTTTCAGCTAGATTTTGTTGGATCCTTCATTTGGGCTGTTCTTTAATTCTGAGGAACCAAAGCCCAGCAATGTATAATGACTTGGACTTAAGTCCACATTTGTTGTAGTGGTTTCAATTAGGCATGGGCATGGTGCGAAATGGCTTGATATGGTTCCCTCCACTATAAAAATCGAAAATCTAACCAAATAAAATAATTAGTTTGGTTCGATATCGATTCGGTCCAATCGGTTCTATTCAATTTAGAGTCATTCCTATTTTGTAACTATTAGATTAGGCTAACCAATTTGATCCAACGGTTAAAGGATAAGGTCTCACCTAAGGGTCATATATAAGGCCCTCATTATAGAATTCTTGATTCGATTTAAGCTTGAAACCATTGTTTAGTTAAAAATTTAATAAAAACAAATTAGAAAATGACAAGTGGCTAGTTTGGATTTTTTCTCTATAAATAGGCTATATATGGATATTTGTATAATATGTCACGCTAAAATAGACTCATTTGTAAAACCTATTTTTCTTTTGGTCAAACTCAATTTTTTGGTTTAGACTTTAGAATTGATGATGGTGTAGCATCCTATATTCTTAAGACCTGGAAGCACAAATGAAATGCGAAAACCCAATAATGGCCTGCCCAAATGTTTTTGTAAATTAGTAGGGTGAAAACGGCAATGCCATTGCCACCATGTCATACGCATTATTCCATATTTTCTGATTCTAATTGATCACTGTTTGAGTTTAAGACCCTTTAGTTAGTTGCTTGTGGAAAAATATTTGGCTTATGATATGCTAATGCTGTGGAGGAGGTTCTGAAGATGGCAATTAAAAATGTAGCGTCCACGCCACATTGATCAGAAACCAGGAAAGAAACTGTGGAAGAATTGCTGACATTTAAAAAAGAGTAGAAGAGTTACAAAAATTGCTAATCACACACATGGACTACCGACGAAAGTAAGACATTTTCATTAAGCTATCATATTTCGTATACAAGTATGTCTCTCTTGCCTGCTCCAGTATGGTGAAAAACTAAAAAGATTCAAAAGAATAATAGCATAAAGGCGGGACCAAAAAGAAGAAAAAATACAAGCAAACAAGCCTGCAGTCAGATCGATTCGATACAGTGTGCATGCAGCTGAAATCGCAACTTTATGAGTGTCATGGCGTTGGGTAAACAATTTATCTGGAAGGAAAGCCAAATCTGTACAGGATTTCCATCTCTGAAAGGAAGCTCCTCTCATCGTATCCTACATGACTCAATTACTTCGCTCACAGCTTTATGAGTCTCTGGAGATATCATGTTTAACGTCAAATGGAATGCCTGAAGAGGAAATCAAAGTTGCCATTAGTGAACAAACTATGTGCACCATTATCAAACTTTTCCATGTTACATAGACCACACGTTATGCATTTTCATCTCCCAGAATAATTATCAATAAATTATTTCGAGTTTGTTGGAAGCACTTTATAGCACCAACTACAGATTTGGTTCCCAACAGCATGCCGCAATACAGTGCAGAAGATGCTGAGATCAGTTGACCAGAAAAACAGGGTAATTTGATAAAGACTCCTTGAAGGAAGACCATGCAGTTGGGCAGACTATAGGCCATTGCTGTTTTTGGCCAAAGTCCAACAGGTGGCCCCGTGATGAGGTGAACAAATAGAAAGACCCTCCGGACAATTTTTTATATTTTAGATTTAAAAATAAAAATAGGGTACTTTCATTACTGAAAAAGAACAGAAGTTAAAGATTTAGAAGTTAAAACACATACCACAAATCTGTCCAACACTGGTACTAGGATAGCCAGGCTGCGATCTGGGAGACAGTCAGCAATCGCATCACGTATGCTCTTACTGAGGACATCAAAGAAATTTTGCGTTGAGGATATGTCAAAGAAGCTTGATACACAGAAAGAGAGAAAACAAACCAACCTTTCGGTTGAAAGGAATGCTAGAAGAAGGGCAGAATAAGCTTCCACTATCATTTTCTCCGCTTCTTGTTCCCCTTGTAATACAGCTGCCTCGTCGTTCTGTACAAAAACAACAAAACCAGAATTGGAAGACTATGATCAGATGTCTAGTAAACACTAAACTAGCAGAACACCCCAGAATATTGAAAGTAGACGAGACACCCAAAACATAGAAATAACAAAAATATGTCAAAAAAACTGAGAGCCTGTTCGTTACATTTTGCAAAATGGTTTATATTTTTGGAAAGTAGAAACTATCTAGTATGGGCTGATTCTAGGAATACAAATGCTCCACTCTCTGACCTTGGAAAGGAAAAATTCAATTTCTCATTTTTGTTTTGGAAGACAGGCCCTTGTGTTTTCAAGAAATCACAACTAAGACAACGAAGCGGAAATTTTTATAGAAAATAAGAACGTGTCACCCACTGGCAAAATCATTTCTTCTGCACCTCCCTCGCCTGCACCTTGGTTGGCAAGGAAAATAGAGCAGATAAGCAGAATTAGATCCTTGCGGCTCTCCTCTCCAAACCCTTCTGAACTAGGTACATGAACACTAGCTGCTGCAAGCCGTGATCTGGATGGAACACCATTATAAATTAAAAGTGTGACAGTAATAAAATGTGCCAGTATGAATATATATAAAAATACAAGAAACTACGACTGTTTAATCTGCAGCACAGGTACCAGGGTGTCTATAATTATATAGCATCTTTCATTGTCTTAAGTTATTGAGATACAAGTGGCCCAATGATAAAATTAGGACTGGCTTGGAATACAGGGGAAATGTTGAAGATGACAAAATATAACAGAGTTTGGTGTTTTCTTCCCTACAATATATTTTCTACCCTCCCAAGGACTCCATTTCATTGGACCAACCATGGTAATGGGTTCTCTATGTTGATTTACAAATTGAGGTTAAATATGAACAGACAGGGAAAACAATTAAAATGCTCACTCTCCAAAATGTAAAGGAAGGTTGGTTGTTAAGGGGGAATAGAGTACAAGGGTAACAATGTGTTGTTCCAATAACAAAAGCTTGAAGAACGAAATGCATAAACAGCTGGACAAAAATGGAGAACTCCAAGTTACCTGTTTTGGCCATCTTTCTCAACCAAGTTCACAAGCAGGCCCAAAATAGCAACAAGAAAGTCTAGCTCTTGATCAGTAAGATGTCTATTATTCTGATGGCCAAGTTCAACGCTTAAAGTATTCTCACTTCTCTCACTGAAGGGAGATGATAATGAGCTGAACAAAGGGAAGTGGTTGGCAATCAAAGAAGACAAGGTCTCCAGTCCTCCATTGGCAGCGATTTGCTGGCAGCCAACAGGATTATCATTTGCCAAGTTCATCAGAACCTGCCAAAGAAAGACATTTATGAGTTTATACAGTTCAACGGCTTCACCTGTAAGAAGAATCTAGATGGGGTTGCAATTAATGGAAACAGCATTCTTCTATTATTCAAACACCTGATGAGTATTAATAAACATAAAAGTTACACTGAGAATAATTGAATAAGTCATTGTTGAGAGCTAAAATTAAATCATGCGAACAGTAAACAGTAACCAAAGATATATCTTAAGGTTCAGAGAAAGGGACCCTACACCTACATATCATCCAACACAAAGCATCTAGCAATTGTTTTTTAGAGAAACAGAATTTTATTATAGTAGGAAAACAAATAACAAAGAGTGGATAAGGAATTCACAATCTGAAGAGAAAAGAGAAAATACAATAAAAGACCACTCAAATAATGGTAAGTCAGAAAAGACTCAAAATTCGAAAAATCTAGTCTCACTTCACAGCTGCTAACAAATCCAACTTTATAGAAGAATGACAATAATCTCTAAAATTAGCATAAAAACCAATGCCCATAAGCTGCCCAGAACCTCACCCCTAAAGAGGTTTAAAATATCGGATTGTGGAATTACCTTGACAGCAGTAAGAAGGCAGTCCGCTAGAAGACCGGAACCTTCTCTACCAACAGCCCCTGAATAGGATGTCTCATGCGCCTG